CATGGCACTCCAGGGATCGGCAGCTCCATTTCAGGCAGGCCGCTGCAGACTCTTGACAAGGTGTTACCCAAAGTTTCAGGGTACATGATTGTCCAAGTGTCTGATGACGAGGTTGAGACAATATTCTTCTTCTGACCAGCTCTTACAGAGGGTAGAGGCAGAGGCTCGGGAGACGGGCTGGGGCCGGGACTGAGACGGGACACAGACACAAAGCAGGGGGAAGGGGAAAGAGGCACAGATAGCACTCGGACATCATGGGAAGGACACCCCTGGGAATGACCTAGAGCAGGGGCCCCGCCGAGGACAATCCACAGCAGCTATCTCACCTGGGATAACACGCAAGAGGCACCCCGCTCCAGAAAACTGCCTGCTCTGCAAAATCACAACAAAGAGGTTTTTCTCTGTGTTCTGAAAACCTCATCTAGCAGAGACATTTACACCTATGGCACTCGTGTACGTTTATTTAGGGAATACGCACATACTTTATAGACGTTACGTCTTTACACTTCTATAAGCCTCATCAGATCTCTTTTATATCTGTTGAGACTATGTCTGTATAGACCTAGATAGAACACGTACTTACACATCTGTTTACACTTCTAGCTTGACTTACAGAACACTTATTCGTCAAAACATCCATTTAGACTAGCTGCTTATACACTTAATTATACCCATTTAGATTCAGTGCTTTATTTATGCACATCTGTTTACATTGCATGGAACTGCTACTGAGATTTGCTATGTGACACACCGTGACACATGCCACCTCAGCACCCCTCCGGGGGCACTGGGGGTGCCCCAAATCACATCATCAGCATCTCTCCTTTTCACTCGCCCAAAAAACGGCACACAAGGAGCGGAACTGCCCCAACCAGCAGCTCGATACTTCAGTAGCGACACTTACCTGTGTACACACCCCAAAACAGGGGCACTCTGCTAGAAGAACTAAGGGGCAGGAGGCAGCCTGCCACAAACAGCTGCAGTCCCCCCAGCCCCTGTCCCACAGGGCAGGGACAACATGTCAGAGGACACCACCACGACTCTTGCTTGGGCTCTGCTCCCCATGTTCTTCCTCCGTTCCCAGGCCAGGCCATCTCCCCTTGTTGTACTGAAGTGTGCATACATTATAAAAGTAAAATGGAAAACGGAATTGAAAATAAAACCAAACCCACCCCCAACAACCAAGAAACCTGTTGCTGCTAAAGGTCCTCTGTACGGCTTCAGCTCTATTTAGTTACTTACCTGAAATTAAAATACAGAAATCTTAATTTGACATGTTTAATGTAACATTAGATTTAGAAACTGTTAGACAGTCTGGCTTTGCTGATAAGCAGGATACTCCTGTCAGAAACAGGAGGAGGGACGGACTGTCGGTTTGGTTGGCAAACCATCAAGAACCGCCTGGAACTGCCAAGATTCAAGAAGTCAGCAAAAGTTAACTCCAGCAGTGGAGGTGGTGACCACCAACTCACTGACACCACTACCCAAATAATGCCACCTACCCCAAAGCAGACAATGGAAGGAGAAGATGGGCTCACTGACATCAGAGTTGAGGCAATCAGAACCGAGCAACAAACAGAGTAACAATGAATAGGCATCAATAATTTGCCTATGTTTAGGAAACTCTGCTTCAATCGCATTCTCCATTTGCGATAACCTTGTGGGTCAAATAGTTCAGAATCAGGGAGGGGGGGAAAAAAGAAAAAAACAAGAAAGAGCAAAGTTTTTAACTATTCACACCTTTTTCACCACATCTACTTGGATACCAAGGCATATAATAATCAGATGCATTCAAAGCAACAGAGAATTTCTTAGTGCAAAGTACTTGGGAAGGCTCCGCAGCCGTCTGTACTGCCCTCCAGCAGCAAGACTTTTGCACGTTACTGTAGGCAAGGTGACAAAAACTTTATCTAAAGCCATATTTAAAAGAAAAACTTTTGCCAAAGCATCACAAGGTTCTGCAATGCTGAGCCAAGTTCTCTAGACTCCTCGCAAATTGTCTTGTAAAACTGGGTAACTAAGGGTCTCTCTTGCTATTCCAGAAAGAACACAACATGTGGTGTCTGAAATGGCAAGGGAAAGGAACACAGGATCCCATACACAGTCCTGATAAAAGCAATTTCCTTTGTTTCTATAAATAGTTATCTAGTTCTTATCTAACCTTATCTAGTTCTTCACTCTTTTTATGAGCTTTTTATTTAAGCCCAGGACCTAAAAACCTTTGAGTAAGACCTACAGAAACTTGGCAGCCATCTTCCTCACTGCTTCCCGTTTTTTCTTGCTTCCTCCTGGTTTTTCCTTGCTTCCTTGCAAAACCAGAGTAAAAACCACAGGGCAAAAACCTTGGCCCCACCCAAGTCCAACTCCTTGCTTTCCTCCCCGATTACCCTTCATCAGGAGGCTTTCTACTCCCAAGTCTACAGATTACCCAATTCTGCTGCACCAGTTCTGGGGCAACCAGACGGCGCTTTTGGGGAGGGTCCACTCACATTGCCCACCAGCCCTGCTTTCCCCTGCAGCCCCCAGTGCCCTCCAGTTTCGACCCAGCTGGAAGCGGCTCAGCCTGTTCTAGCTTTCTACCACCCTAGAATTTTACCAGTGCTTTTCCGGTGTGCTCCAGGGTCCTCTCCTTTTTATATGGCCCAGTTCCACCCCACCTTTGCCTTTTCTGTGCCTCCAGAGTCCTATGTTTTCCCTTACCTGCTAATGTTTTCTTCTCTCTATCCCCACGCCCCTTCATTGTACCCCAGAGCTCTCCCTTTGTTCTTCTTATTTTCTGACCCAGAACCCTTGAGTTTCTGGCAAGCTGCTCGTTACCTCCAATCTGGGTTCTTTATCTGGTGTGTGAAGAGCAGATACACACACACACACACACACACACACACACACACTGAAACTGTTTATTTCATTTTTGTGCAGAGATGGGTGTGCGTTAATGCACAAAGCTAGCACCTGCAGATTAGCAATTGCTACATATTTATATGTTACCTTAGGCAAAAGCATTACTTTCTTACTTTGCTGATTGCTAGTACGTATCCATAGCAATTTTTACTGGTTGCTACACCCTCTTGTTTTTGTTTAAAGATGAAGTATACTTTCTTTTTTTAACTACATATGTTCCAGAAGGGGGCTTTTGGTAGCAGGGGGTTTCTCCTCTACGAGGGTCGGGGGGTTTACCATATTAATGATATTATAATGTGTATAGGTTACTTTTGAGCAACTTGTTTCAGCAGTTCCGAAGGCAGCAGGTGTTTCCCTTATCTAGTTCTTCACAATCATTTTTGGTCATTCGTAATATATGTTTCCCTTATCTAGTTCCTGGCATTCTTTCACAATCCTCCTTTGGTCACTTGTAACCTTGTCAGCCACTGGGGCACACCTCTGCTGCCCCAGAAGCAACAGCTGTCAGTAAGGGCCCCTCAGCAGGGCTGATAGCAATGGCCCATGTGCTTTACGAGCTGCAGATATGGGTTAGAGGAGCTAACCTAGGCTAGAGGATAAGAAGTGTCGGGTATGCCCGGTGGTGCTGATGGCAATGGCCCCGCTACACTCAATAGGAGCTCTTGGGCTGGGTTGCTGCCATGCACGTGGGGTTCGCGCTGCCACACCTGGGCCCAGCCAGGACAACACACCCCTTTGGGCCTCCCAGCCTCCTTCTGGCCTGCACTCTTTAAGCAATAAAGATAGAATACTATTTTATAGTATTACTATTAATAGCTAAATTTAAATACAGCCATCATGAAATAAATTGCAGGCATTAACAACTCCCAGTTGGTGACAGAGTAAGAAAGTTTTAGGATTTAAACTTAAAGTAGAATCAGAAAGCTAATGGAGAGTGTTTATTATTTAAAGTATAACATAGCTGCAAGTAAGTTCAGAGGCAATAATGACTCCTGCTTAGAATCCAGACAGTAATTGAAGTATTAAGATTTTTTAAATAAAGAGCAATAAAAATTAGTCAAGTAACAGCTGTGTTTAAATGCAGGTATTAAGAAAATTCACAGGTGGTCATGATTCCCAACGAGAACTAACAACACTAAAGGATTTAAATCTAAAATAATATTAGAAAAGTAAGAGAGCATCATAACCACCTGAATTTAAACATGGTCATTTGGTGGGAAAAACCCCTACCAAACAATAGGTATTAATTACTTCCATATAGAACTAAAATAAAAGCAAAAACAGTGCAAACTAAATTTGTCTAATAAACAGTTAAACTGAATTTTAAAAATATTAAGAACACTAGTTTGGTATTATTAATGCCTCTCACCTAATTTTTTTCCTTTAATTCTTCCTTTACCTGAATGACAGTGAATGAGATTCTGGGGGCATGAAGCTGGCATGCCACAATCATTGAGAAAGAAGGACACATGTCATGAGGCTGCACAGGAAGGCCACCTTCCACAGAGACACAGAGAGAACTGGGCTACAACTGAGCAGCTCCACAGAGTCTTCTTGTGTTCTGCTGTTCTGTACATGAGAAACAGGCCAAGATCTGAGCCACGCAAAACTGGGTTTCAGCTGGTTTTACACCCTTTTTGGCTTGATCTCTGAACATTTCACTCTGCAACTAAGGGTCTGATTCTTGCTTTGTGAAATAGCATCTGCATATATGGAAGACAATGTAGATTTGCAACAAACAGGCCAATAAACATCACTATGGCAGCACTGTCTTTGGGATGACGGTCCAATCTTACTGCCCCTCAAAGTCCTACCTAACTTAGATCTGTACAGAACAATTATACAAAAAGGATTGCTCTTCCTGAAAGCCATAAAACCAAATTATAACTTTACTGTAAGACAACACTTTCAGGTCAGCAGTCTCGAATGCAGTTTATCAGTAACATTTCCTGTAGCTTCTGCTCTTAAGAGAGGTGATCTGATTTAATTTTCCAAAGTTTGGCAGGAAAATTTTCTTCCAATTTTCATCTCTAGAGTGCATACATTTGGAGGGTTCTTCAGTAATTCAAGATTGCCTGTAGACTGAGTCAAAGCCCTGGCATTTATTTTTAAGGCTTTCAGCTGTATCCTGTCTTGACTGTCAGACACGGGACTGACTTCTTGAATTTTCAAGAGATCTCCAGTACTGCAAGTCTTCTCTGTGTTATTGGAACTTATTGTCAGGGCTCTCCTTGGAAGGTCTTCCTTTCCAGAGCTAATTTGCTGAAGTTTGAAAGGGATTTGGTTCTTGTCTCCTGTCACATTGATACAGCCAAGTGAACAAATCTGCTCTCTTCTGGTTTTGTTATTATCGACAGGACTATTCAAAGGAGATGATAGGGGCAGGTTTTCTTCTTGCTCTTTAACACTGTAAGGAGGAGTGGGGACTTCAAACGTAGCATGAAACTGAGAATAATCAACATGGAAAAAGCCCTCTTCTAGGGACATCACCGGGAGGAATCTGTGACCCCAAAGAACTTCATCTTCTGTATATGAGGTCCTAGCTTGGCATGTCATTCCTAGAGAAACAGAGGCAGGAGCATTACATCATAACATGACCAAGTAGACTGGCATATAGAACAAAAAATGAAAGGTAGGGCTGGCAGATAAAGGTCAATTGTAGCCTGTAAGCTAATTAATTAATAGATGATAAAATGGAGTAATCTTTCCTAGTTAATCTCCCAACAGTCAGCAGAATGCCTCTAATTTATTGACTAGATTTTTATGCAAATATTGGATTAAATATTGCAGACTCACACCAAGCAAACAGCTGTTGATAAAAGCAGAACATAAAATTAGGATGGTATCAGCTTGCTAGCAAGAACAATTTTATCGTTTGTATGTAACACTGTTTCTTGGAAGTCACCTTGGGAGAAAGAACTCTTGCTTGGGAGAGGCTTACAGAATTCTCTGGCAAAGACTGGGTGTGGGGGGAGCCAAAGCTCAATGAAAAATTGAATCTTTCATTCCTTTTATAGGCTAGGCTACTTTTTCTCCAAATAGTATCCCAAGACAAAAGCTGGGCAGAGACCCTGCAGCTGTCTTCCATGTTCAGACAGAGGTATCGCTGTAAAGCTTGTACAAGAATTTGTTCCACTTTGTGCAAACATACATCATTGGCAATATTTACATGTGTGAACTAAGACCTAAAATGTGTCCTAACCATGCCAAGAAATCTGTTGCAACCTTAGCACCACAGTGCTGATGATAAGTAGTATGTATATCCTAGGTGAGCTGAGCTTTAAGGCTACTTGTCACGGTAATCTTCAGAGGAAGAATTAGCAGTCAGTAAGCCCAAACTCTGATTTGCTCTCTAGTTACTGCTACATTAATTCTCAGGGAAGCATAAAATGTTTCCTTTGTGATACTCGGTTAGGTAATTGCATTAAGTGTGGCTATGAATGCATGCTTATCTAAGATATAGATGGTTCAGTTGCAGGATGACCAAAGTCTTCTGTGGGGCTCTAAAGACTGCCTCACTTGCCATGGTAGACTGTTCTGCCCTGGGAGTTTGTACCTGTTTAGAGCTCAGTCCAGCACATGGATAGTCAGTTCTGTTTCCTGTCCATCATGAGATGACTAAACTTGGCTGTGCCAAGCGGACATTACTGTTTCTAAAGCAGGAACCAGACAACTGTTAATCTTGTTGAAAGAAGAATGACAATGCTCCTCGATTAATCAAAATTTAACAAGTCCTCAAAAGAAGGGAGTGGAAGACCAGAATATTCATGAACCTACTGAATGATTTGGACTTTAACAGTACACCTGGGTCCTCAGTGCAGAGCTTCTTACGTAACCATAGTGCCTCATCACAGGATTCATAAAATAATTAAGTCCTCAGAAGACAAGGCTACAAAGACAGCTGTCATCTGGACCACACTGTATCAGAATTTAAAAAAAAATCACAAAACCAAAAAGTTTTAAAACCACCAAAGCCCTGCTCTTATTTGCTGATAATCATGTGCTCCTACAATCTTTGCAACTATGAGGCCTGTATTTGTGCTGTAAAACTGGATTGGTTACTTTGTATTCAATTTAATGCAAGCTGGGTTGAAAGTGATTTTGCAGCACTGGCAACTTCTGAAGTTTAACATTCTTTCAGAATGGTGATCCTTAAAACATGACTCTCCTTTGTGCTTTCCTACATGCCATATTCTCAGAAGTGGCAGAGCGCATCTCTTCTTGGATATATTGGCCACTTTGAGCATCAGTAACGCAGAGCCTTTTGGGGAAGGGAAGTCTGTTAGGAGATAAAGGCCACTGAAGCTCTGTAGCATATGGCAAGACATTCTGGAGCATCCAGTATTAGTATCCTGAAAGGATTACCAGTTGCCTTACTAAAAGTATCAGGGCCAAAAACAAAGACTAAAACTTAGAGCATGCATATTATTTTAAATCTTACCAGTAGTTTCAACGATTCCTTCAAGGATGACAACTATTTCAAATTGCTCCCTTCTCAGTGATCTTTGTGAGAGACAGAAGAAGGGGCTCTTTGAGTTAATTTCATGACAGATGGTTAACGGGGAAACTAAAAACAGCTGGTCAGCTCCAGTTCCAAATCCAACATCCAGTTCACACTGGTCTAATGGCAAAAATTCTCCCTCCGGTGTCTGTCGGGACTAAAGATGAAAAGATGATTTAGTGATCACCATGTGTAGGCAAAACATAAAATCAATGCAATGAAGTTCAAACCTGCATCTTTCACGAAATTACCATCTACATATTAGTTCTGGGGTCTTCATAATGCATATATATGTAAGGCTAAATTTTCACTTTTCTTATCATGCCACACTAACTCTGATCATCATCTACAAACTTTACCATGCTACATTTATATATTTTGGGTGTTTTTTTTTTTTTTACAGAAACATCAAGTACCACACTACAGGCCTTGAAACAGATGTTCACCATGAACATCCTGCAGAAAAAGTTCCCGTTAATGACAACAAAATATACAAGCCAGCCATATTTTAATCCATTGCCTGAATACACATTTAATTATTTACATATGATACTTATTTTTTGTTTAACAGACACTGTGATGTACTATCTGAAAAGTAAGCATCACAATAATTGTCCAGTCTGTCTGGTAAGTGACATTTCCACAAAACCATCTGAATCGCCCTTAATGATGCTAACATCCTTTGCCAATTTGCATGTACTATCTGCTGTATGTTGATCTTCATAAAGAACTTATGATCATTATTAAACTCAGTGCCTCAGTTTTATTCATGTCATTTCACAGGACCAACAAAAGTACTGATACGATAGCTTCCCCGTGCCCTGTAGCATTACCCACAGATTTTCCTGGTATTCAAGGTAAAACTAAAAATTACATCAGTTGGCCAGGCAGCTCCTCAACTGATTGCTTTAAAGGTCTCTGGTGGAAACGGCCCATTAAAATTAGAAGCTTTACTGAGCCTATTTGATATGCTTTCTGCTTATTGCTTGATTAGAAATCACTTAATGCTTTAAGAAGATGATTATTGATTATAAACCTTAGTTGCTAAGTAGTTTCAACTGTGCTGCATTGGTATTGACAAATGTATTGTTTCCATTGCCTGGAAACTCCATCCATTAGTCCTGAGAGCAAGCCAAGGCTAGCAGTTTTACTGTTGACTTAGATCTGGTTGGTGTTCTTTTAGGAAAGTTTCTGTCTCTAAAAAAGGCTCTAAACAACTACCGTACCTTCAGATTGTCTCTCCACTTCACCCATATCTTTAAAATGCTGAATTTTTAACTGCCTGGTATTTCCTGGTGATTTCATAACTGGCTAGGTAACTGGTAGAGTACAGTTCCTTATCAAATACAATGCAATATTTCATTTACATGCTATGTGTCTGGTTTTCTGCTGAGGAAAAAAAAAAAAAAGCTTCACATCTGAATAACAGCGTTCTCCCTTACATAAGAGTCAGTTTCTCCACTACTAGGAAAATACCAGTTAATTGCTTGTAAAAGCACTGTAATGAATTATTGGTGCTTTGAAAGATAGAAGGGCTATAAAAGAAGAACAATCAAAACTGCTACTGTAGCAATGGTGACAGTCTCTGTCATATGCAAGGGTGTAATCACGCTACTGCAAAACCAACATTTCTCTTTTCCCGAAGAAATCTGCAGAACTTAGCTGCAGGCTACGCCACTGCTTTTGTTGCCAGCCACTGTTCTTTCAGTGGGTGCGCAAACTGGTTGGCAACAAAAGATATCTGCTCCAAGGTAACAAGACTCAATGTGAGCTGTATGAACCAACATCTAAACCTCAAATTTTCCAAAATCAAATACAATTACCTAGACGAAGATGTGCATATTTGCACAGACTGCTGCCTGATTGACTTTAGAACTATTTCATCTACAAACCATTTTTCTCTGTGGAAGAGTCTTCCATCAAGTTCACCCAACAGTAAACAAATCCAGCGAGGATTAGAGGTAACAGATCTGGGAGAAAGCAAAAGGTTGCGTTTGAGGTATTTGGTATCTTAATATACAGGGCTGACTTACGCATGGCATTGAGAATTTTTTTAACAAGACTACAAGTTACATTTAAAAAAAAAAAAACAAACCTGAATGAAGATCACTTTGTAGCCTTAGCATGTTAACACTCCTAGTTAGCAACCTTTGTTGAATATACAAAGCTTCACCCAAAATATCACAAAACAGGGCAGAGGACTATAAGCAGTCAGCAATAAGTTTGGAAGGAACACTTGTGACTCTTTATTTTGACCACTTACATAACACAAAGCTGTATAAATTCCGCATGTTCAAGCATGTATATATAATACCTGCTTGAACAAAGGCACAATTATTTAAAAATTACCCAGCTGTCATTTTAAATGTGGCCAGAGATAGAGAATTCAAAGGTCTAGGTGAGTTTCTCCAAAGGTTAGTTGCCTCACAGCTAGGAAAAAAAGACTCCTCCTGTGTCCAGATTTTTCCACCTTTAAATTTCTGCCACTGGATCTTTGTTTTATTTTTTATTACTAGGCAGACTTCCATTGCATCATCACTTAGTCTGGTTTTGTCTCTGACCAAACGTTTACTGTTCTTTGAGGGTTCAAATCTATCCTTTATTTATTTGCGGTGCTTGTCTAAACCCTATTGTTTATGCATATCCTTCTTTAACTGGACATGACACGGGTTTCTTATTATTAACCCTCTTTCAGGTCACTCATTTAGAGAACTCACATAATTATGTTTTGATACCCAGGTGGACTAATTAAACATTGGCACAGTGGCATGCAAAAGACAGACAACCATTGAGCTTAATATTGCAGTATGTTGTAGAGAAACTCCTGAATCTATAAAATGCTAAACTAGTATGTGCTGATTTGCCATGCAGTATTTCATTTCTGGCATTTGAGAGGAAAACCCCTGATCTCACCTCTCTGTGCTTCTGCCCCACCCTTAGACTAGCAACTTGCAAGAACATTTATTATATATTACTTTACTGAAATAATATGCATTTGTTACTTTGGTACCACTGTTAAACAACTGTATGGTGTTTTGGTAGTGACATTATACCTGGATGTCTAGTTTACATAATTCCCAGGATGACTGTTACTTCTTAACACAGTCTAGTTGCCCCAAGCTGTAAATACAGCCTGAGTGAGCTGGGCTTGTTCAGAGCAGAGAAAAGAAGGTGTAGGGGGGAATCTAACAGCAACCTTCTGAAACCTAAGAGGGAGCTAATCGAGAAGATGGGCAGAAGGTTTGGTGTACTTTCTTTACCAAGGTAAGTCCTTGGGGCTGCATTGGTGAAACCAAAACACTACGTTCACTACCTAAACATGTCTCCTATCTCAAGTACAAAAGTGTCATAAGACATATTTCATCACATTCGTTCTCAGTTTTAACACAGGTAAAACCAAATTCTGGCTACCTATAATTGGGTGCAAGAGAAATGTAGCAAAATCAGTTGTCAGTAGCACTGCATGAAGCACAATGAAACGACCACAAATCACAAAAAGGCAGAACTCAATGAAGATAAATGGTGGTCGAGTTCTGGCACATTCAACTTAAGTTTACAGGACACACAAAGCTACTTCAAAGCAGCCAATGTAAAGTCCCACACTGCCAGAATAGCTGCTAAGACTGCTGGAACAGTGTGTCCGGTTCAAGGGGCACCTCAATGAACTGAGGAGGGTTTGCAGAAAGACATGCAAACTAATAGCACATCTTGTAAAGAGGACTGAGGGGGCAGCTAGTACACAAACACTTTTAAACTTTCCTGTGTCTGTATCTTACATTTGCCAAGGGTCGCAAAGCATCTTGAAAACAAGTTATTGGTATGATGATTGTTTGAAGGAAATCAGGTATTACTCACTGACTCATTGTCTAGTCTATGAAACCGCTAGCATAAGACGAATGGATTGAACAAGTCCATTACACGTCTTTGTGTTTTCTGTTCCAATCATTTGCATACTAGAACTGTGTATCAATAAAATTATGAGCAGAAAGCATACCAGGTTGCATGTTTGGTATCTTATTTCAAAATAAGTTTATAGTAATTACTATGGCTATAAAAACACAACTGTAACATGCTTTTATTCCACTTTGACTTGTATTCTGTCTTGGATGATGGACAGAATTATATACTTTAGAGGAGTATAAAAGTATACACTTTCAACAGTTGGTGATCAACAACAATAATGGTTCAGCTGGCTTTCCAATTCATACCAAATTTGCTCTGCTGTAACTCCTGACACTTTGTTCCCATATATATATATCTCCAACCTCTTTTTGAATCTTATCAGATTCTCCATTTTAAATTGTATTCTGTGGCAAGAAAATTTAACAGCTCAGTCAAGTGTTCTGCATGGAACAGAGGGAAAACAGCCTTTCACGTTTACCATTGTCCCATCAGCTACTGTATCATGCTTGTTTCTGCAAATTATTCAAATGGCCAAATGGCTGCTTGAAATGCTGGGGTTTGAACCCCAAGCCCCGAATTAAGGTTGACATATGGGTGATTCCCACAGCCCTTCATACAGAGGTGGTGAGTTTGCCTTAGAGTTCCCCCCAGGGTGCGGCCGGCCCTGCAGGGAGAGCCAGAAGGGAAATGAGCCCCAGGGGTCCCGCAGTGAGTTGACAAAGGTCAGGTGTCTGCTTGGGGATAAAAGCTGGGACCACTTGCAGGGAGTCAGGAGTGTCTGCTCTGTGGAGTGTGCTCCACAGAGCTTCCTGGTTCAGGGAAGACCTCCTGACTCTCCCTGGAGCTGGGCCCCGGTCTGTTTAAGACCTTTGCGAATGCGGGACGATCGGATGGGAGTCACTGTGTGGGCACCTTTCTCTTACGTGCTTAGCTTGCTGGTCTGGCTGTTTCCTATGCCAACTGTGGGAAACCTCGGGTCTCTGTTTGTACCACCTGTTGTGGGCTGAGTCACATCTTTTGTGGGATTGTTGGGGGTGGTGTCGTTTATGTACCAGCTGATTGATCTGTTTGTACCCCCAGCGATCATTCATGCAATGTCCTTCTTGTCTACAATACCGTCTGTGTATTGGTTCATCTTTCTGCTGGTGCTATCATTTTTGTTGGGCCTGGCCATTGGCAAAACACTGCTCCAAAGAGAGGATCACCACAGAGAATACAGAACATTTACAATAGTCAAATATGGTATTCTGAAATTAACGTCATCACTGGGATCCAGTTTCTCATGCTCCCGTTACAAGACCTAGCTGTTACAAGCTGCTATACTGTTTCATGTTAGCATGCCACATGGAGTGTTTTCCTTTCATTCTCCTCCTGCCTGATACACCATCCAGACTGCTGTGTCTGCCAAACTCTACCATATCTCAATGGTTTCTTTATTTTTTTGGTTATGATCTCCTTTGGATTCCAGTTTTCTTGCAGTCTGAATGATCCTGACCATTGTCAGTGATTAATAAATAGATATTGGTGACAATCAAAGACTAAAACATTTGCACAATCATAGAATCATAGAATCATAGGGGTTGGAAGGGACCTCGAAAGATCATCTAGTCCAACGCCCCTGCCAGAGCAGGGTCACCTAGAGTACATCACACAGGAAGGCATCCAGGCGGGTTTTAAATGACTCCAGTGAAGGAGACTCCACAACCTCTCGGGGCAGCCTGTTCCAGTGCTCCGGCACCCTCACAGTAAAAAAAATTTTTCCTGATATTCACCTTGAACCTCCTATGCTCCACTTTGCACCCATTACCCCTTGTCCTATCACAGGTCAACACTGAAAAAAGCTTAATTCCATCTTCCGTACACTCACCCCTTACATATTTGTAAACACTGCTGAGGTCACCCCTCAGTCTCCTTTTCTCCAGGCTAAAGAGACCCAGCTCTCTCAGCCTTTCCTCCTAAGGGAGATGCTCCACTCCCCTAATCATCTTTGTAGCCCTACACTGAACTCTCTCCAGCAGTTCCCTGTCCTTTTTGAACTGAGGGGCCCAGAACTGGACACAATATTCCAGATGCGGTCTCACCAATGCAGAATTGAGGGGGAGGAGAACCTCTCTTGACCAACTAACCACACCCTTTCTAATGCACCCCAGGATGACATCAATCCCTTTGAAAAGTTGGGAGGACACTAGCTGGAATCATGGGGTTGAGAAACTGCAAGTTAAAGCTCCCCAAGTTTCACCAGGGGGAAGAGGAGGTTGAGGTTGATCTTTGTTCTGATTCAATGGGGCCACAGAATGGGTTTAATGTCACCACAAATCAATTTTTTATTTCCAGCCATCACCTGCTAAGGAGCATGCCTTAGTATCCCTCTCTCCACCTATCCTGTATCCTGACACAACCATCCTTCCTGACCAAATCGGCTTCCTGCCAGCCTCATAATCCACTGTAACGCCCTTGGAATGTCACTGATGAGACTGTCTTTTCCTCTACACCTGCTTGGCCCTTTCATGGCTTGTAGTACGGGCAGCCATGGCGAACTTTTCCAAAGCCCTTCATACTGCCCCAGCCACATCCTCTCACGCATATGCCAAGGGACAAGGCAGCTAGCCCTGCGGCAGGGCAGAGGCCACAAGCAGGCATCAGCACGGGCTGCACAGGGGAAGCCCCACGCTACCTGCACTGTGGGCATGCAGCTGCACTCAGCCCATGCCCTGCCTGCATCACCCACCCTAACCCAGGCACCCTATCCCACCCGCTGCCACACCAGGCCTCACCTTGATCAACTTGCACCGGATTTGGGCAGACACCATGTGGCTATTGCGGAGGTTGCCAACACGGAACATGAGGCAGAGCTTGCCATCTCGCTGTGAGATGACTGCAGCACGGCTGAACATGAGGGTCTCAGCTCGCTTCTTGGGCTGAGACATCTTAATGAACATGCAGCCAATGAGAAGCGCATCGACAACAGAGCCCAGCAGCGACTGGAAAAGGAAAAGCACGATACCCTCTGGGCAGCGCTCAGAAATATAGCGGTGTCCATAGCCAATGGTGGCCTCGGTCTCTATGAAGAAGAGGAAGGCAGAGGGAAAGTTGTATACATTGGCCACGCACGGACTGTATGTGTCATCATGCACCCGATGCAGGTCACCTCGCACGTAGGCAATGCCCCACCACATCGAGGCCATGACCAGCCAGGCGACTGTG